TCTGGGAAGTGGTTTCTGGGAAGTGGTTTCTGGGAAGTGGTTTCTGGCAAGTGGTTTCTGGGAAGTGGTTTCTGGGAAGTGGCTTCCGGGAAGTGGTTTCCGGGAAGTGGTTTCTGGGGAGTGGTTTCTGGGGAGTGGTTTCTGGGGGCTGGTTTCTGGGAAGTGGTTTCTGGGGGCTGGTTTCTCGGAAGTGGTTTCTGGGGGCTGGTTTCTGGGAAGTGGTTTCTGGGAAGTGGTTTCTGGGGGCTGGTTTCTGGGAAGTGGTTTCTGGGAAGTGGTTTCTGGGGGCTGGTTTCTGGGAAGTGGTTTCGGGGGGTGGTTTCTGGGAAGTGGTTGCTGGGAAGTGGTGTGGTTTCTGGGAAGTGGTTTCTGGGAAGTGGTTTCTGGGCAGTGGTTTTTGGGAAGTGGTTTGTGGGAAGTGGTTTCTGGGAAGTGGTTTCTGGAGACTGGTTTCTGGTGACTGGTTTCTGGGAAGTGGTTTCTGGGGACTGGTTTCTGAGAAGCGTTCTTTTTTTGAGGGGGCGGTGGTGAAGGCCTAAGTCTAACCCACAGACATCCTAAAGAGGCAAGGCCCTAAGCCAAGCCAAAAGAAACCGTGGCCCTACAGGAGCGAGACCCCAAGCAAAACCAAACCAAACCCTAAAGAAGTGAAGCCTTGAGTCAAACCCACAGACATCCTAAAGAACTGAAGCCCTCAGTGAAACCGAAAGACATCCTAAAGAGCAAAGCCCTAAGGCAAACCAACCCCCCTGAAGAAGTGAAGCCCTAAGTGAAACCCAAGACATCCCAAAGGAGCCCTCACGTGAAGGCCTAAGTCCAACCCAAAGACATCCTAAAGAAGCAAAAGAAAACCTAAAGGATCGAAACCCTAAGCAAAAAAAACAGATCCTCAAGAAGTGAAGCCCTGAGTCAAATCCAAAGACATCCTCAAGAAGTGAAGCCCTAAGCTAAGACCAAAGAAACCCTAAAGGAGCGAGGCCCGAAGCAAAACCAAAAGAGACCACAAAGAAGTAAAGGCTTATTCGACCCAAAGACATCCTAGAGACGCAAAGCCGGAAGCCCAACCACATGAAACCCTAAAGGAGTGAAGCCTGAAGCAAAAGAAAAAAGACTAAAGAAGTGAAGCCCTAAGCCCCTCTCCACTGAAGCCCTAATGCCAACCCAAAAACATCTTAAAGAAGCAAGCCCCTAAGGCAAACCAAACGAAACCCTAAAAGAGCAAAGCCCTGAGCAAAACCAAACCCAGCTTCGCCAAAGCACGTAATTACCACGACCATGTGCACAAAGCACAATATGTTGAGCAAGAGATGCTGTTGAATTTGTGCCAAAGACATCCTAAAGAAGTGAAGCGATAAGGCAGGCCAAAAGAGACCCTCAAGAAGTAAAGCTCTAAGTCACAACCAAAGACATCCTAAAACAGCAAAGTCCTATGGCAAACCAGCCAGCAACCCTAAAGAAGCGAAGCCCTAAGTGAAACCCAAGACATCCTAAAGGAGCCCTCACGTGAAGGCCTAATTCCAGCACAGAAACATCCTAAAGAAGCAAAAGAAAACCTAAAGGAGCGAAACCCTAAGCAAAACAAAACAGATCCTCAAGAAGTGAAGCCCTGAGTCAAACCCAAAGACATCCTGAAGAAGTGAAGCCCGAAGCTAAGACCAAAGAAACCGTAAAGCCGAAGCCCGAAGCAAAACCAAAAGAGACCCTAAAGAAGTGCAGGCTTATCCGACCCTAAGACACCCTAATAGCTGTGGGTTTTGCAGGTGTAGAGATACAGTTGTAGATATGTAGGTGTTGAAACACCTACCAAAAACACCCACTTAATCTCACCTACGACAACCACTTCTTTATAAGTGTCTTCTATACTCTTACGGCGGCGGGCAGGTCCGGCCGGAGCTCACGTAACATGACCCTCTACGAGGATCGCGCGTGCCAAGTGTTGAAACGTCTAGTGAAACGTCGATCGCGTTTGACGCGTTTGACCTGGATCGACCCTCTGCGAGGATCGTGCGTGTCATATATGATAATGCGTGGTACAAAACGCTCGTTCTGGAGACTTCCGCAGCTCACTTTTGAAGGAAGTCTCGCACAAAACGCTCGTTCTGGAGACTTCCGCGGCTCACTTTGGAAAGACGTCTCGCACAAAGCGCTCGTTCTGGAGACTTCCGCGGCTCACTTTTAGAGGAAGTCTCGTACGATACGCTCGTTCTGGAGACTTCCGCGGCTCCCCTTGGACAGAAGTCTCGTGCGAAACGCGCTCTCTCTCTCTCTCTCTGTCTCTCTCTCTCTAGACTTGCGCGGCTCACTTTTGAAGGAAGTCTCGTACAAAACGCTCGTTCTGCTCACTTTTGAAGGAAGTCTCGCACAAAACGCTCCTTCTGGAGACTTCCGCGGCTCACTTTTGAAGGAAGTCTGGCACAAAACGCTCGTTCTGGAGACTTCCGCGGCTCCCCTTGGAAAGAAGTCTCGTGCGAAACGCGCTCGCTCTCTCTCTCTCTCTCTCTGTCTCTCTCTCTCTCTCTCGACTTGCGCGGCTCACTTTTGAAGGAAGTCTCGTACAAAACGCTCGTTCTGGAGACTTCCGCGGCTCACTTTTGAAGGAAGTCTCGCGCAAAACGCTCGTTCTGGAATGTTCTGGAAACTTCCGCGGCTCACTTTTGGAGGAAGTCTCGTACGATACGCTCGTTGTGGAGACTTCCGTGGCTCACTTTTGGAGGAAGTCTCGTACGAAACACTCATTTTCACTAGCAAATGCTACCTTCGAAGCACTACCGAATGATGTGTGTTCCAAAATGAGCCGCGAAGTTGGTCTCACGCTGCAGTCCCGGAGAGTTTTCTTTTCGTCCGGGTTCCAAAATGGGCCAGGTTCCAAAATGAGCCGTTTCTAGGTTTCAAAATGAGCCATGTACCCTTGTCTAAGGGGCCCGCCCTAGAAAGGAAGTGAAGTGCCCGTCCATTCTGGATCAGAGGTGTGTTTGTTGGGAGGCACATGAAATTCGAGATGCGGTCATGTACGGAATTAAATAGTGTCCCAAGTTGAGACCCTTTGAGATAAGATTATGTAGATGCAACTGCTAGTGCAAATCTTTGCAAGAGTGTAGCCAGTAGCCAGCCTGGGAATTTTTAAGTAAATGTGTTAAGATTTTGGGGCTAACTCTGTCAGGCACTCTTGGTAGGTTGGGTAGCTGTAGGAAGGATCCTTCTTAAGATCTGGAAGCCCGGCTCCCACGCAAAGCCAGGTGACGCTCCTAGCTGCTGCCAGCGACACCTTCGCCAAAAAGAATACGCAACTTGATTCATCGGTTTGGGCTCGTTCAGCTTCTTAAGCCTGCACACACCATAAAAAGCTGAGGATTTGTATTTATGATTCCTACGGCTTCCCGCGTCCTGTGTCAAAGTTTCCTTTATCGTCATGATTCTTTTATCGTCACGAAGAGCACCAGGCCAATCACAAAGACACAAACCATGCAATAAAGCATTTGTGATATTAAATATATACCATATCATGATTCTTTGCGGGGTATCCTCTATAGAATCTGGGAGCTCGAGCTCAAAATGACCCTCAGATTTTATAGACAATTTTCTTCTAGAATCAACCATCAACCCATCTGAAAAACCACCACATTTCAAACATGGGGTCCAAAAAAATCAGTTTGTTCTCTCAAAGTGGGTGCCAACATTTGATTCTATAGAGAGGGCATGTCATGTCACCAGATGTTATAGAGGTCCTAACATGTGATTCTATAGAAAGCATCTGGAATCTGGAGTAGTAGAATGTTGAGAACTTATTTTAGAGTGGATGGTGTGCTGTGAGGTCAGGTCTAGAAAATCAAAACCAACTTCTTGGGCCACAGTTATTAAATTTAAATATCTTTATAAAATCAATTGCAACCTTCATATGTCCCCACAGTTCTCTATAGAATCAAGACAAATCTTGGCTATGCATCATTGATTTTCAACTTTTCCTATCAACTTTTCATGATGATGAACACCCATACCCTGACACACACTTCGGAGTCTGTTTTTTCGTTTTATAACTATAAAATGCTATAAAATCAATTGAGCCACGCCGTAAACCTCTCTTTACATTTTTGTCAAGGGCTTGGTCATAAGGAGGGTTGGCGTAAGCAAAGTCTGCTGCGTAAGGTTGCGTAAGGGTTTTTTTCAACATAACACGTTGCGTAATGTGTTTTTGCTGTTCTTTTTGTGTTCTTAGAGATACCTTGCTGGCACATCTTTCCGCAGCCGTGCCGTGTCTACGGTCACTTCACGACTACAGGCAAGTGTTGAAGTAGATTTGTGCGGACTTTTAAGTTCACACCACCTCCAGAGCACTGACAATGGAGTATGGAGTGATTTTTGGCGTAAGGTCCACGCAAGCACCGCTTAAAGACAACTTCGATTTCTAATCAGTTGCCCACTCATGGCACCAAAACAACGTCCTTTTTCACAACTGCAAGTGAAGCAGTGCAACCGAATCATCGACAACCTGGATGGTCTTTCAAACGTCGCCTAAGCTTTTCTCTTGGAGGGGTGTCACGGTGTGGAAGTTTGAGTGCATTGCTGTGGCGTAAGCCTGGCATAAGCCCTTTCTACCACAAACCAGCCGCGTAAGCTAAAACTGTGCGCGCGCAAGGAAAGCGTAAGTCTCAGCGTAAGACTTCCCATACGACCTTTCAATCCATCAAGGTTTCCAGCACAGCTCAAATCTCAAGGTACACCGGTAACTCCACAGGGGATATATTAAGAATATACGCGGCATTTATATACAAATGCCATATACATAGTTATATAGTTGTTGAGGTTCTGAAGTGCGCGGACATGTTCACCACTTTTAACCTCATGAAACTTGAGTGAACCTAAGTAATCGATTAGTTAGCATGAAGTGAGCCTTTGATACTGGTTTCAGCCTGAGGAACTGCACGGTAGAAGAGAACCTGGAACGTGCCGCAGTCAGCAGCCCACATAAGCGTCGTTGAACGAGTATTGGGCAGTTGTCAGACAGATGTCATGAGCAGCTTGTTGGATTTGCCTCCTTGCTCACGTGGTTGCATTGCTAAAGCAAGCAAGAGGATGGTTTAATTCATTTAGAGCCTTGGCCGCCCTGTCCCATTGTATAAATCCTGGCGGTGAAGCAGTGCTTTGCACTGGCATCGCAGTTTCAGTGCTTGAGGTGGCACTGCAAGTAGCCGCTGCTTCACAGTGCCATGTAAGGGCTGCAATCTCTGTGTGTGCCGACCTCAGTGAATAGCTCGACCATGTGATCGATCGCTGAGTGGCATGCTTTTGAGGCTTGGGCTGCCCCTATGAAGGCGAAGTTCCAGCACAGCGTGTGGCACAGGCGCGGCTGGCCTGGCCGGATCTGCTTGTCCAAGCCATAACCATGGACACCTGTCCATGCATCAACCTCCGCATGAGTGGCATGCTGAGATTATGAAGTGTTATAGTTGCAGGGGCTGAAGCCAGCATGAGCAGCTTTCCCTCAACATCTCATGATGAAATTGTTTCTCGATGATCGAATTGTTGAATATTTGGGGAGAGAGACGCAGTGAGAATCAGTGAGATAGATTTGGAATTATGGACTCATCATTCTGTGGATGTTCTGGGTGTGGTTCTTGGCCATGGCATGTCCTGTGGAGGTCCTAATTAGGCTGGTGTGGGCCCTTTATAATATCAGAGATATTTGGGCTTTTGGTCACTTGGCTATGGCATAGCTCGCGAATCAAGCTTCGCACCTTTGGGCCACATCCCAAGAACTCCGTGCCAAGACCATGCCGTTGGCATCAAAGGACACTCGAGAGCAGCACCAGTAATTGATATGCCCTTGCGAACCTCGTGTGTCCAGGTGGCGAGCCGCTTGTTGGAGGCCGATCTTTTCTGTTACAGTCTACTATCATGCTTGTTCTTCCATGCTTTTCCATATTCAAAGAGTTGGAGGCTTGAAGGTCATACAGGCTATACAATTCTGATGAGTGCTATGAACATCGCGAACCTGAATCATGCTGAGCCCAATGTTTGTTACGTTCATCACATTTGCACGTGTTTTCTTCAGGGTGGCTGCCAAGAGGTGGTGATTTGTGACACCATTGGCACGGGCACCGCGGCATCCGTGCGGAAGGCCCCGCTAGCAGCTGCTTTTTAGGAATATGTAGATATAGAACAATATAGAGAATTGTACCTGGTCAAGAATTTCCTTGGCATGGATTGAACTCACCAAGTCTATTGGAACTTCCAGGTGTTGGAGGCCGTGGAAGGCAGTGCAGAGTCCTGAACGTTTGCATTGTTTTTATTGAAAACTGCCCAATTACGACATTGACATTGTGCTGAAAGAATGCCAGAAACCCCGAAACCCGTCTTGTTTGACACAGGTGCCGGTATTCCCATAGACCGTGTGGGGGTGCATTTCCACGACACCTACGGTCAGGCAGGCATTGGAGTGGTTGGAAGTTGACAGTATTTAAAGGTTTTGAAATGTATTTGATACTATTTGCGAGTTTGCTTTGGAGTTGACCGTTGTAGATGCTGCAGCTGATTTTGGCTCAGTGGTCCAGCGTGCGCCCCCATTGTGGTCCAGATAGCCGTTGTTCCTTGCGTTGCACCCATTTCGCACTGTTGCTATTCATTGGTTTTTGTTTGTGATTGCCTTTGTGATGTCACTACTCTGTGTTTTGACAAGAAGTTTCTCCTTGGAAACCCAGGTTGATCATGCCGTGCCTAGTTGACTTTTACGACTGCCTGCGCGCCTGGGCCAATCCCAAGTCCATCGGCTACCCGCCTTGGAGGAGCAGAACAGCATAGTTATAATATAAGTATATATATATATGTATACGAATGTAAAATTGTATTGTATTATATAATTTGATTGGTTTGTGTCATTGCATTACATCACATGACATGTTTTTGCTTAATACTATCCACACACATATATATATATATAGTATTGTCCCACCTGTTTGCACAGGACATCCCATCAAGTTTCTGCCATATCATGATTCCTGGACATGGCTGTGCAGGAAGGGCAAACTTGATTGCCACGAGTATTACTACGAAGAGTTCTTGACCAAGCCGATGCACGCGCAGCAGAAAGGAGGCCATTGAAGCCGCTCAAGCTGCATAGAAGACGTGGTCCGCCCAGAGTCGAAAGCATTTGGATAATCCCATGGACTCCTACTCAGCTGAGGCTGTGATTTTTCAGGTGAACCGCTATGCGCCAGGCATTCAGATTGATTGAAGCTCGCTTGAGAGCAGGCAGAGCTAGATGCGCCAGAAGGCACAAAAAAGGAGCGCAAGAATCTGATGCCCTGATCCTGGGCTATTGTTTGCGGGGTTGGCACTGCAAAGAGTCACGTACTATAAACTTTGGGTGCATTAGTGACCTGCCCTTTCCCTGACATCAAGTCATTTTGTCGCATCATGTCACATCATGTCACACATACGTTGGCACAAATGCTTGGTCTTGGGCCCTGGGCTCAGGCCTTCGGCCTGTTTGAATTGCGTTTTGGAAAATCCTTTTTGTGCCATGGGGAGTGCTCCCAGTGGCCGGCTGTTGCAAGTAGCCGACGCCTCCCAAGCGGAGATCACCTCCACCTACGCGGAGCTGTCCCCGGAATCTCGGCAGACCCTGCAGGAAGCTTTGAAGCAATTACCCGCCGCAACGTCCACCGCAACATCTACGTCCTGTCTTGCTTGTCGTTCTTTGCTTTCGGGAGAGGTAACGGCGAGGCTTCCAGGTGCATCCGAGAAGTGGAGCTATATGGACTTGGCCACTGCTTTGCGCACGGAGCTCCCAGAGGCTAGAGCTCAGGTTATCCAGTTCTTCACGTCTCAAGAACCCTTGAAACATCTGGATGAGTACAAGACTTTGGAGGCTCAGGACTTTGATTTGAAAGGTGATATGTTCTACAGCCTTGCAAACCTGAGTGTTGGAGAGCCCATGGGACTTGGCGAAGCACAGCCACTGTTGTTGGAAGCACGTGCACGTCTTGATAGGTTGGACAAGCGAGGCATCTCGGAGATGAGAGCCTTAGTTCGTCCACCACAAGCGGTGGTCATAGTGGCCCAGGCCACTGCATGCCTTTTGCAAAAGCCCCGCAGCACTTGGGCAGACGTAAAGAAGACACTGATTGCAAAGGAATTGCTCCACAACCTTTTCTCCTTTGATAAAGATCACGTGCCCCTTGAGGCCCTTGTTGAACTCCAATGGTACTTAAACCATCCCTACTTCGAGCGAGATGAGGTGAGACGTGCATCTCTAGCTGCTGACGGGCTGCGGGAATGGGTAATGGGTATAAATGCGTACTCTTTGGCCAGGGAGCGCGTGCAAATTGGCTAACCATATGCCACCGAGTGTTTTTTTTCTCAGGATTTCCTCATTGGACCATAGAGTTTCACCGCCGGGAGTGTGTTTGTGCTTCGGGCTGCCTCAAAAACAGAAGCGTGCATACAGTCCTAGACTAGAGGCAGATGTATCATAAACAAAGAAGGCAGAAGCAGCCAGCAGCTTATTGAGAAGTAGAGCCCTACTTGACCTTGCACTGCCTCAGCCTAAGCATCACGGTGGTGAAACAGCAAAATAGAGAAGACCGACCAATGAAGTCCTGATCCTCACTTGATGCTAGTGGAGGCTGTGGCCAATACTTTAGCTGCTCTGGCCTCGGCTAGTCCGGCGGGATCGGGAGAGCGGCCAGGCAGACACCTTGGCAAACTTGGCTAGTCCATTCATCCTTTCAAAGGGACCTTTTCCATCCAGAGATGTTACCAACCTATTCTATATTCTATTCATCAATCTGTCTCTTCGTGCCACGGATTGGAGACAACATGATGACATTGGCCCCGTGTATCACCAAGTGAGATCAACAACGTGTGCGCACAGGTGGGGGCCATGTTGAGTGCTTATGTTTATCGGCACCTGACTTCAGAGTTTGAAGTGATCTGTTGGATTCAAGAATTGCACACACCGTAAGTAGGTCTGCATTTTGTGACACTATGCGTTATTTGTGGGAAGTTTTATATCTGATGACATAAAGAGCTCCCGGGTCGAGTTCTGCATCGGCAAGTCCAATCACTGACCTGTTCAAAGGCTTTGCAGTTTGGTGTGGCCAAAGTGGATGCTGCAGTGGGTGGAGTAGGTGGTTGCCCCTTCGCAGGGCCAGGCCAGGCAGGTCAATTGGACCGACGCAATAAGTTTTGGTTCTCAAAATGCGCATAGCCTGACTAGCCACGATTTGCTGGGCACTTGGTTGAGAAGAACGCACAAGTTCAGGCATGAACGATCATGAAAGCACAGCATAGCAGCAATTTGCAGTACATATACATATTGTGTATATATATATAGTCTTAACATGTCTTAACCTTTAATTAAACCCCTTTAACCTCGAACCTACAGGCAAGAGGACCCTAAATGTTTTGCCTCACTGCAGGGGCCAGTGGCAACGCAGCAACGGAGGACATATTGCAACTGCTGCAAGGTCTTGAAGCCTTTGGGACTGCAGTTTGAAGAGAAGAGACTGGTGGAGTTGGCCTATCTTGATCTTCAAGTCTTTTTGGTGTTTTTTTCAAAGTAATGGTGCCAACATGACAGGCTCGTGGGATGCATTAGCTTCTTGAAAACCCTGGTGTTTGTTGTATGCTGGTGGTTTCGCAGCGTCTTAAGGTGGAGACTGGCTTAAACTTTTCCAAGCTCGCAGAGACGGGGGAGTGGCTCACTTCCCACATCCTGCAGAAAGGCGAGCCGGGATCGACAAAATGAGTGTCAGTTGGTTCTGTCCCTGAAGGTTGAATTTAGTTCTTTCAGTCAAAGATTAACTGATAAAACCTTGAAATTGTGTGTGTGTCCCCTCGTGGTGCCCAATATGTGCCTTGCTGCTTATAGACCAAGGCTATTGAATACTGGTTATCATCAAAGCTCCGGGGGGGTCTTGTATTGGACCTCTGCCTAGATATTATAGATTGGGCGCGGAAGGCCAGATCTTGGTAGGTTGACCTTTGCGAAGGGTCCACAAAAAGATTATGAGACGCCGTTGGCCGTTGCAAATCTCACACCTATAGCGGGGCATAGTGCTAAGTGCAAACCGCAGCCAAGACTCCTTGACACTGGCTGGTTCAGGCAATGGATCCAAGGCCGGGCCAGCAACTTTGAGGCAAAGACGGCCAGCTCCGCAGAGGTGAGGTCTTTGTTTGGTCCAACAACTCAAAATTTTTGTGTTCAATTGTCACAACTGTCCATGATTCATTCATCACAGACCGCTTTACCATGCTTTGCCTCTCCACGTTCCACTGGTGAAATGTGTGTAACATCGAAGAACATTGCTGGGAATTCATGTGGAAGGTTACAGAATGTTACAGAAAGTATTGCAGGTTTGGCCGGTGAGGCGATTGCTTCAACTCAAAAACACAAAAGAAAAAGCAAAAGAACAACCAGTAAGAACGTCTAGCGTCTAAGGAAAGACAGGACAAGAAAAACGCAACAAGACAGCTGAAGGTTACACAAGTTATTATAGGTGATGGGAGGGGGTTCAGTTCAAACAGGAACAAACATGGTCTGACTAAGAAGACACAATAATACAGTATGACCCAAAAGGGAGACAGCTCTAATGAAATACAGAAAGGTCAAAACCAGTATATAAAAATCTAAGGGAAGAAAAGGTCTAAGGAAGACAGGAAAAAGGAAACGGTAAGAAAGGTTTGAACAGAGAAACAACAAAACAATAAAGAATAAAGAAGGCAAGGTCTAAAGAAAGAAAAGAAAGAAGGACAGAAAGAAAAACAAGAAAGAGTTAACACGACAAATAGATAAGGAAGAAAGGGCTTGAGAACGAAACCAAGGAAGAAGGCCAAACTCCAGAAAACTAAAATAAACAGAAAGAAAAAAGGTTTATCACTAAAGAAAGGTTTACAGAAAGAGAAACAACACACACAAAAAAAAATAAATAAACAAGATGAACGGTCTGATCTAAAGAAAGACACACAAAAAAGCAGGAAAGGTTTACAGGTCTCAAGACAGACAGAAAGAGCAAAAGACAGCAGACAAGATATGTTGAAAGCAGAAAGTATTTCAGGTTTGGCCGGTGAGGCCAAGTTTTCCGTGGTTTCAAGTCTTTCAATTCAAATTATATATATAGCTCCATCCTGGCAAGGAGTGTCGATTCTCCACGTCGGCCCCTGGATGGAGTACGTGTTCTGGAGGCAGTGTGTTCTTCGAATCTCAAGTATCGCTGGGTGTGCTATTGAAATTGTCTTCAAGAGGGGGGAGAAGAAATTGTGCTTGAGCCTCCTTAAGAAGGGGCCTTATCAAAGAGGCCCAAGTACCATGTATTCACCCTCCTCTTTCAAAACATCTTGCGGTGTCACTCAACATGACACTGCATTGAGGTGAGGACTCTACACGTTGTGCTTTCTTGCAGATTAGATGCTGTACCTCTGTGAGTCCAGCTTTGTCCTGCAAAGCTGTGAGCACGATCTTCATCGCTACTCTTCGTTTGAATGGAATATTTCCTTGATTGTCAATAGGGATGAGGTCCCAGTATAGTTGCTATACAGGTACATGCCATATACTTTTGGCTCAAGTGCCCAACCAGGTAAAAAGGAGCTTTAGCGCGCGAGCTTCATGTTGAATTAAGGGCTAGAACGGGGCCAGGGCACACCTTTCCATCCGTTCGCAGGTTATCAGCCGTATCCAGACTCCTTTGAGCTGGGTACGAGCTGCGGCCTTACACAATACCATCTAAACGCACACGCATCGGATAGATCAGTTACCCTCAGTCACTGAAGATGGACCAATCCGACGCCAGCACTGCATCTTTTGGAGCAGCTGCTGCGGCCGCAGATCGGATGAGTGCATCCCACAACTCTAGTCCAGGTACGATCGAAGCGGAGACTCTGACAGTGGTGAGAGAAGTTGCGACAGGTAGAGCACGAAGTCGTTCCCCGTCAGCGCAATCGACACCACCGGGGGGGACACCGAGATCAGGCCGTAGCCCTAGGGAGACAAGGAGGAGGACTGACACCGGAGCTGTGAGAGTGTTAGCATTGGAAGATGGGTCAGCTGTACCAGTGCCGTCGGACAGCGAAGCTGGAGATGGAGCAAGGGCAAGCACTGACAACCTACAACTAGCACGGGCCGATGGAGACCTGAATGCGAAGTGTGCGCAACTACTTGCCGAGGTGCATATGTTGAACCACCAAAACGCATGGATGGTCGAATGTGAGCAGAGACAGAACCAGATTATACAACACGAGACCGAAGTCCACGAAGTAGTGATGGCACACCTCGAAGAATGTTATGTCGAAGGATATGGAAATCAACGAAGAATCTCCCAACTTACAGAATCCAGAGACTGTTTGCTCTCAGCAGCACACGATCTGCAATACCAGATGGACACTGATCGTGTGGCAATGCGGGATCGTCTCACCCAATTAGGGGAGTACGCTGATCGCAACAGCGCAGAGATGGTTAGTCAAGTTGTGAACATCGGCACGGAAGAGATCCAGGCTATATCGGCGGAAAGAGATCGAGCCGTAACCGAGGTCATGACTACAATCGCAGATGCTGAGAACGTCAAGGACCTGTATAGACAGGAGTTAGTTGGACTACAAAGGCAGAGTGCCAGGAACAAACACGAATATGCTGAGGAGATGAAGATGAGGGAAGCAATGTATGCAAGCAAGATCAAATGGTTATCAGAAGAGAATGAGGAGCTCAACAACCGATCTAATAATCAGGACAATTTCATCATGACCATCAGGGAGCAATTGAAGAAGGCGAACGAGGAGTTGACACAGGCGAGGATTCAAGGATCCGATCGACCGTCTCAACCATCCAACGCCGAACTCAAGAAAGCCGAAGTCAAGGTGAATATGTTGGAAGAAGACATTCTACGTAAAGAGAGGATGCTGAAACGTCTTCAGGAAGAATTGATCGAATCAAGCGCAAGTGAAGCACAATTGAAGGTCGCACTGAAGTTGAAATCACCAGACATGGGATCAGAACCCAATGTGGAGAATGAGATGATGACCAAGCTTAGAGCGGAACTTGAACGTACTGAAAAGTCATAAGGTCCGAGGAGAAAGAGGCGATTGAGTACTACGAAGGTATGATGCAGAACCAACAGGACATGATGGAATTCGAAGCGCATGCAGCACGGCTCAGAGATGAGAGGAATAAGTACCGGAGGAGGTACGAAGAGGAGCGCCTGAGCGCAGAGAATGCAGCCGCAACCGAACATGGTGCCGCCTCATCCTCTAGCTCGGGTGGCTCCAGGATATCTCGGAAGGAACACGAGAAGATCAACATCCCTGCATGGCCCAAGATACACGACCTGGAGGTTTGGAAATCCCAGGTTGTAGCGGCAGTCGTGACGGCATCGGGCGACGAAAAACAAGAAGATTGGATCCAATGGCTCTCGGATGCCTTCAGATCACCATATGACCCATTTCTGCTCGAGACATCAGGCGAAGCAAGATTCGCCAGCATAGACGCCAAGCTTGGTATCATCCTACATACGATCATCCACGCAGCAGGTGAGAGACCTCATGACGTACAACTGAAGGTGAGGCAGATGATGCAGAGACGTGCGAGAGGCACAACTCCTGGAATGGTCAAGGGACGAGAAATGTTAGCGTTGATCGTCGATAGCTTCCGGAGTGCCGACAACGTCGATGTGATGTATGCATCCAAGCACTTATTCGATCTAAAGTTCCCTGGGGATAATCAACTATCCAGATTCCTTGGACAGTGGGATGAGATCATATCAGGTATGGATGCGGATGACATGCTTCCTGACAAAGCACTCCGCAACCTGCTTTGGGATAAGATTAAGGATTCCAAAGTTATGGCGTTAGACTTGTCCGTGTACGACAACATGTTGGATAAGGATCCGGATAAGACCTACCAGAAGTTACGAGAGATCATGGCGAAGTGGATACGGAAATCAATCGAGACCACAAACAAGAAGGAAAGGGAAAAAGCTTTTGGGAACCTCGTGAAAGCCACACCAGCGGCGGAGAAGAAGGACCCTAAAGCGAAACCCAAGAATACCAAGGCCGATCCACCGAAGCATGACGCCGCTCCAGTACTTCCTCAGGCTAATCCGAAGGACCACAACAAGAAGGACAAGAAGCAGGATCGTGGAAGATCAACCACGAAGAGCCCAAAGGGGGATCGTGGCAGGTCAGCGACTCCAGCAGATACGTCCAAGATAGGATGCGCTTTCCACTTCCATGGGAAAAACGGACGTTCTAGAGGAGACAAATGCAAGTTTAGTCACCAAGAGAAGCACAAAAGTTCTGCTAAGAAACCAGAAAGCCTCAAGGGTGACAGATCAAAGAGTCCTGGTGGCAGGAGCAGTAGCCCTAAGCCAATGAAGGATCAGGTCTGTTGGAATTGGCAGAAAGGATCGTGCAAGTTCGGGGACAAATGTCGGCGTCAGCATCACGCTGCCCCTGCTACAAAACAAGAGGCTAAAGGCAAAGCCAAGCCCAAACCGGCTGCGCCAGCCTTCATGCTTTGCGGAGACATCGAGAGTGATGACGAGGACGTACAACCCGCACTTCCCAACGTACAACAAGGTGAGTTGGCGCTTCGCTTTAAAGTCAGATTCGATGACCAGGCGAATGTGACCACGTTCACCTGCGATCCTGGTAATGAGCTGAACACCCGTCCCCTCAGGAAGAAGAAGAATGAGGTGCGGAAGGTGGATACCGAGTTCATTTCGTCGTTGAGAGCCCTCAGAGTGAGCAATATAGCTGCACGAGTAGCACATGCCAAAGGTAAGATGATGGAGCTATTTTCTGCTGAACACATTGCCAAGGCATGGATACAAATCACTCGAGATGAAGGAATCGAGGTGAACGTCGACCTGTCTGACTTCAACACCAGCGAGGTGGTAAGGGAGGATTCTGTCAACTACACGATACCAGGAGACACGATGTTCATGGCTGTGGAGAGGTATGATGGACCACCGATACGCTTCATCATGGACACGGGATGTGGACACGACTTGATCTCAAGAGAGAAAGTCAATGCCATGGGCCTTACCACCAAGGAAGGACCCAAATCCGTGAGCTTCATGACAGCGAATGGTGTAACTAGTACATCAGAGATGGTGGACATCAATGTGGACGAACTACCCATGAGATCCGAGGCACACGTGTTGGAGAGCACACCATCAGTCTTTTCCATTGGGAAACGGTGCATGGAACAAGGGTACTCATTCATATGGCCGGCAAATCAATTGCCATACCTCATCGACCAGAACGCGAACAAGATTCCGCTATCGGTGCATGACAACATACCCTACATCAAGGTGAATGATGATGACGGGAGATGTTTACCAAGACCAGACGGCTTGGCTACGATACTTCATCGCATACTGTCGGGTGTGGGGCATGAAGACGAGGCCACAGCAGGTCAGGAGACACAACAAGAGGAACTTCCGCCCAAGAAACCACGGAGACGGAGGAGAAAGAAGAAAGATAACCAGAGAGATCGGGATGATGAATCTGATATCAATCCAGCTGTTGCAGGCGTCGAAGGAGAACCAGAGGAACACGGTGATGACAGGTATTCTCCTGAAGAGGAATATGACGGGGAAGACCCGAGAATCGATCGTGATCACGATGACCAACCTGAAGAAGCCGAAGACGACGAACATGGAGGTGATGCGGATTCTGAACGAGAGGAGAGTGACATTGGTGAAGATGAAGAGGGGCTATTGGAAGTCGATGTGGTTGACGGGGAAGCCAGACTATCAAAGCCAGGAGTGCTGAAGAACGAGGCGAAATCCATATTGCACCTGATGACGCACCGATACAAGAACCCATACTGCAAGTCATGTGTGAGAGCAAAGATGAAGCACTACAAGACTAGCAAGGGAGCTTTCAAACGGAAATTGAAGGCATTCGGTGACCTTATCACTTTCGATCTCATGAACACTCAGAAGATGGCGAGAGATGGGATCATGCCGGATAAGGATGTATTGGTGATTCGAGATCGGTTCACTGGTGTGATATGGGGTTATCCTTTGAAAGCAAGCAATAGTGACGAAGTGGTGCAGGCGATGAAGCACTATATCGGTAAGAGAAAGGTCACCAACGCTTACTCGGATGATGCGCCACAATTTGAAGCAGCACTCAAGGAACTCCGGATTCCACTAGACCAGTCGCTTCCAGGACATCCCCAGAACAAT